ATAGCACAGGTTGGCCTTGAACCAGTTGTGCTCCTAAACATGTGGCTATAGCTAGCACTTTTCTTGGCTATTTGACGTGATATAAATTATGTCAGTTTGTAGTGTCTTTCATCTTCACAACAGTGGAAACTCTGGAAGGAAGGAAGCAGTTTCTAGAAATCCTAAAACCACCAATGTTAGTTGCAGTGATACCCTTCCAAAGCTACTGCTTTCCCTTAGCATCTGTTGAAAAGAGTGGAGTATAACAAAGGAAGGCTGCACATTTGCTGGATGGCAGACAGCCCACTTGTCAAAACCAAAGAAGGCCTAGAGATGAGGTCACTGGGATCCATATCTCTGGTGACCCAAGTTCGTTCCACACAGACTTTGATTCAACTCTCTCTCACTAGTTATTTCCATTTTGTTTCTTTCTATAATATGTCACAGGAAACTTAATTACCTGTGCAAATGAGGATTAGAACCGCAGTATCATATCAGTGGTTTTGTTCACATTTTGTTTTTGGAAATACTTTATCTAGTTTGACTGTCAGTAGATGTTAGAAGCTGACCACAATTCCAGCTCATCCTGAGGATGTCTGCTTTGATCCTGGCCAAACAGTGCTATGCACTCATATGACAAGCTCCTCCACAGCATCTTTTTATTTTAATGGTCTTGAATTTTGTTTTCATTTCTTGAATGTCTTGCTTGGTAACTAGCAAGAAATACATAAAGTAAAAACTTCTAATAAATAACTTTCAAACTCAACACTTAAACTCCAAGAGAACATGTGAGATAAACACTAGATGCAGGCACTCAGCATTAAGCAACTTTGTATCTTATACTTGTAAGTACTCTTTCAGTCAATTAGGATTGGCTAGACACTCTTGGGGAATTCTTCCTCAGACACTCCAAAGAATAGCCCAGCTCATCCTGGACTGACAAAAACTTAAAAAGCCTAACCTCCTAAAAACATTAGGCAAATTATTTTCCTATTCACTAAGTATGTTGTGTAAGAATGACTTTAAAAAAAAAAACAGTGAATCCAAAATGATACCTTTTAAATCACACTGTGTCCTGCAAAAGAAGTGGTTGCTTAAGCTGGCACTGGAGAAGGTTGCAGCAAGCAGTGATTAAAATTTGTACCTTTGCACTGACAGGTTAGCTAGTGGGTAGCCTGGCTCTGCTATGACTGTTCTGCCTTGGATTGTGTTACTTGTGTGTGATTTCTATGTGGCAACTATTGTTAATAATCCCAAGGATTCCCTTTTTCATATATACTTTAAATTTTCAATGTTGATCTCATAGTGTACTTGCTATTTGCCATTAGCAGTGTGTGTGATTAATATTTTACAAATCATTTTAACTTTATAAAATTGTATACTATTTAGCTATATTATAATTTGTAGTTTCCTACTGTTGCATACTTGTTCCTACTGTTTCCAATTTTTTGATTGTTTTGGTTTTTAAAAGATTTGTCATCATCATCACCACCACCAACACCATCATCATTATTATTGAGACAGGTTCTCACTATGTAGTCTAACTGGCCTGGAATTGATTTGTAGACCAGGCTCGCCTAGAACTCACAGAGATCTGTCTGCCTTTGATGCCCGAGTTCTGGGATCAAAGGTGTGCACTACCATGCCTGACTCAATTTATATTACTTTTAATTATGTGTATGTATCTGTGTGTAGGTATATGCTTATGAGTACAATGTCCAAGGAGTCCAGAAGACGGCACTGGATCACCTGGCACTTGAGTTACAGGTGGCTGTGAGCCACTTTAAGTGGGTGCTGGAAACCCAAATTGGGTTCTATGCAAGAACAGAATCTACTCTGATGTTCTTAGCCACAGACTCAACTTTCTAGCACCTTGTTTTGCTTTTAAAAATATGGGTTTGTTTAAGGGGATTTTTTTGTTTTGCTTTTTTGAGAGAGGGTTTTTCTAGGTAGTCCCCCATGGTTTCTTTTTTAAATAATAAAATAATTATATATTATTGTATAATATATAGTTATATGTGTAATTATATAGTTATAGCAGAATGTCATTAAGAGTAATTTTATTACTATGTTTTCTTTGCTTTGCTTTCAACAATAGTGTTTGTTTTTAGCCTAGTGTTTGTTTGGGTTATCTAGTCTCAGGTTCTTGGTCACACAAGCAGTATTGGGTGTGGGTTCCAGCTATGAATTGAACCTTTAGTCAAATCACATATTGGTTAGTTACTCCCACAAGCTTCATGCCATCATTCCTTAGCATATCTTGCAGAAAGAACACAATTGTAGGTCAAAGAGTTTGTGGCTGGATTGGTGTTCATGTTTCTCTTTTGGTAGCTTGCAGAGTTTGTTCCTGTACCATACTGTAGGTGTGAAGGCTCTATGTAGGCAACAGCTTGATTTTTTTCTTGTTCAGTGAGTTGCCTCCACAGCTTCTCAGAGAGTTTGAAGAAAACAAGTCGTTCAAAAACCGCATTTACTGTACAATCCGTGAACAATTGCAATGCTTTATAAAGTGGACTCCTAAGAAGGTTTCTTGCAGTGGTGCCTATAAATGTTGGGGAAAAGAACATTTTCAGTAATCATAAAATATTTTTATGAATTCTTTGAGGATTTCATACAATGTATTTTGATCATATTTGCCCCCAACTCCTTCCTGATACACTCTCATTGCTCTACCCTCCAACTTTGTCTCCATTTTTATTTATTAGGCCGTGGGACTCTTGTTTGTGCTGGGTGTGGGGCCATCCATTGAAGCATGGATGAATTACCTGGACAGATTTCCTGCTACTACTCTTTCTGCCTCTCTTTTATCCTCCCTATATCCTCCTTCTATCATGGAGTCTCCTTCTTTGCTATGATTTCTTAGGCCTTTCCCTAACTACTTGACAAATGCTGTTCAGAGCAATATTTGAGTTCCATGGAAGAAACTTCCTCGCAGATTTCTCAGTAGCATGTCAATAGTGGTCTACTTTTTGCTCACTGTTGAAATGTCACTTTCTTATTTTTATGTTTTTAGTTATTTTATTTTTATATTATACTATAATTATATCATTTATATAATGTATGATTATATCATATAATATGATCATACCATTTCCCTATCCTTCTTTGCAAACCCTCATGTATTTCTCTCTCCCTGCTTGCTTTCGAATTCATGGCCTATTTTTTCATTAATTATTATTACATACATATATGTATATACATATATTTCTAAATAAACAAACATAACCTGATCAGTCTGTATAATGTTACTTGTGTGTATGTTTTCAGAACTGACCAACAAGGATAATTTCATCTATTGTGTATTCCTAGATCTTCCCAATACCTGACAATATTTGTTTATTGCAGTATGAAATAGTGTGTATGTGATATGTGTTTGTTTAAATGAAAGCTTAGTTGATTAGCATTTAGAAAAATATAATAAGAAACCCAGATCAAGAGAGAGAGAGAGAGGCAAAGAGTTCATCATACAGTTAGAAAATCCAAAGAAAGCATTTTCATAGAGGTCTTGAGATGACTATAATACTTCTGCTTCTCCAAATTAGTTTTAATGATTATAAAATCATCATTTAGTAAGTTATTGTCTTATGATACAAGACACCAATGTAATTAAAGCAGATCAGGAGTAAGCTTATCTGTGGATCAAGTTGTATTCTCTCTCTCTTTGTCTCTCTGCCCTTATTACTTAGTGACAAACTGTGCCACTTACCATTGAGAAATAATTTATTTCCCAAGAAGTTATGTGATACCTAAGTTCCAAAATATTGTGTACATAGAAATTATGCTAGAGTTGAGGCCACTGTACCTCTTCCCTGCCAAGACTCCTATAAATAGAATACAACATCCTATTTTCTAAAAGACAGAGTGTATTAGAAACAGAAATATCAGAATCAGTATTCTAGAAGTGAGCCACAAGAAGACTCAGAGGCCATCTGGTCCAAAACTCAATTTAGTGTTGAAGAAACCCAGAGTGATTAAATCACCGGCTGTAGGTCACACATACAACCCCCACCCTTAGCTCTGGGAGACCAGTCTGAGACCAGGTACTCCACCCATACCTACACCCCATTCTGTTGGGCATTATTGGCTTTATGTGACAGAAGAGGTGGGGACAAGTGACGTCCAAGGACAAGTTAATTTGAAAAGCAGAATAGCAGACATTTGTCATATAAAAGGAACTTAAAGTAGAAAAAAAGTGAGTCATGCAGATAGAGAAGTTAAAAATACAGAATTAAGGCACTCAACACATCATGTGCACACTGTCATCTCTTCTCATGGAAGGAGAAAAGAAAAGGGAAAAAAGTTGCTTAGCTCTGACCTGTAAGGAGTATGTGCTGAGAAGTGTGGCAGGCATAAACCCGGGTGCCATAGACACTCGCTCACACCAGCTCTCAGCTCTGGCAGCGTGCCACAGATGGCAGAAGCTCCGGCACTTCTTACCTGATGGCGCCGGGTGGTGGTGACAACTGAGAAGGGCTGTTTCTAGCTTGAATTGGAGAAAAAACAATTTTAAAAACACACTCTTAGAATCTGTTTAAGTTATTGACCACTAAGAAAGATGCTCAGGAAGTCCCATAGAAAACATAACTTGGTTCTTTTATCACCCAGAGAACATTTGTAAAACCAAGAGTGCTACCACCTTCAACTATTTCATAGATGTGTATTAAGGGCCAAAGTTAACAGTAAAAAGTATGTTGATTCTTCTAGTTCAGGGTCTCAGAGGCTGGATCTACATTATTCTTTATGCCATAAAAGGAGGTGGTTGGGGCAGAGAGAACTCCAGTGCATGGGATTTTGCCAGGCACCAGAAGTACTGGAGGAAGGAGCGTGTTGTCCTTTTGGAAGCATCCACTTATGGTCCAAGCTTCCTTTGTTTGAGCACTATATTCGAACTCTCCATGAAAAAAAAAAGTTACATGTGAGAGTAGAAGTAGTACAAAATGGTGAAAATAGTGCAGATAACTCAAAAAAAAAAAAATGGTAGTCATGTTATCAACCCAATCATCATTGAAGTCAATTGGAAGATGAAATTAAACAGGCTTCTGCCGTGTGAGTTTTTTTCTAGAAGGAAATGGAGCATCACTCCTCTGCTGTGTAGTCTGAGGCTTCCTTATAAACACAGCACAGGTGTGCGCAGAGCAGTGAGCCATTTTCTCAGGCTAGGAAATCTATGTCTGTACTTCCTACCAAGACATCTTCCTTACCATAGATCAAGGTCCCATCCAGGAACAAAGGAAAAGCCATTTGCAGCAGAGCCTGGAAAGCCCTCAGCAGCACCTTGTTCTGTCATTTCTAGTCAATGCTACCTTAATGGGGAGCATGACTGGCATTTTCACCAATTATCAATTATTAATTTGCCCAGATGAGGAGCGTATATTAATCTTGCATGCTTTTAGAGCTGTTTGGAAATGTCTGTTTTTTTGTTTCTCTGTGTCTGTTTTTGAATTTCCCCCTCTCTGCAGTTCTTGATTTCTAGCTCAAAGAGCGCAGAGGATTAATCGTTGCTGTGTATCTGTGTTGCAGCATGAGAGAGCAATGCCTAAGGACTCTTTTATATCTTTGGGGCTGATGGGTATAATGTCTGAAGAAAACATAGCTCATAGTAACCAACCTGGATACTAGTAGTAAATTTCTTCTTTTTTTTTTTCTTCCCCCTTTAGCATTGAAAGCCGAAAAGAGAAGAAAGCTGACTCAGGGAAAGGTGTTGACAGGGAGACTTGTCTATGACTTGATCTTCAATTTATTTTTTACATATATTTGAGAAGAGTGTCACAATTATTAATAAAACCACTTTGATCATGTATTGTATAGCCTGTCTCCCATTCCAAATACACCCTCATACTGTAAGTAGTGCAATGCTTGTTCCACTTCTGTTTAACCTCTGAGCAGTGTGACCCCCTTGTGAACAGATACAATAGCTAATGCAAGAGTCCCCCGTGTTAACTCCTGTGAGATGCTCACCAAGACAGCATTCTCACTGTCAGCATTATGAGAGCAATGTTAATCTAGTTTGTATTTTCCTACCTTAGTCACCTGGAGATACCTGATCATTTTATTCAGAAGAGTTTTGAAGGTAGTCTTACTTTTTATTTTCTATACCTTAGCCGTAGTGACTTGTTTTGAAAGGCCCAAATCAAAAGGTTAGTTTGAAAGCATTTCTAACAATTGTATTTCTGTATTTCCTTACTTAATATGATGCATTTAATACTTAATATCTAAGTGATACTTCAAATTATGTGAGAAAGAAATTTTTTCATACCTTCCTAAAGTCACACTGCAAGAGAGTCCTATAGTGTTTGCTTAAAACTCACGTTGTAACCATGTGGTCAAGTACTAGGCTTCTGTGAAATGCTTTACAGATATTTGAAGAGTTTTTGTGAGATTTTTGTCATTTTAAGTCTTTACCAGAAATGTGCTATTGAATTTCTCTCCCATTGCCAATGGTTACTTCCCAAATACACCTGTGACATATAGGTGTGGATTATGGAACCCACATTGTGAGTCATTTTACATGAAATGCCCTCCCTGTACAGCTGCTCTGAGGATAATGGCCACGTACTGCTTAATACTGTTCCCTATAATATTGTCATGTTAGACCAAAAAACAGGTCTCCAACTGTAATTGTTTTTGCAAAGTTCTTTTCCACATTTTAATTAAATGCATGTTTGTGGAAAACTTTGAACTAAAATTCAGATTCTCTTAGAGGTTATGTAAATATTTCAGTCCATATGAAACAATCCAACTTTGCTAAGCTTATTGAAACATGAAGGAAGTTATGGATTTTTAGTATTACTATATATAGATTTCATTTAATTTTAGATGAATGTGAGCTAATAAAACTGAAATCTCATAGGATTCTTAGCTCCTAAGGATTATCAAAAATTGACAGCCTTATATTCTTTCAATGTCCAAATTTAGAAAAATTCAGAGCCCTGTGGCTTTTATAAACTATATGTACTCCATGTAAATGCACATAATTGGACAAATCTCTCTGTTACTAACGACGGGAAAAACAGCAAAGTCTATCTTAACCTTAACATTTTGATATCTTTTGAAAAAATTTTTCAGTCTTTTCAGGAGCCATTTTTTAATGAAATATGAGATAAAATTATGAGAAGAATTTGCATTTAGTAAGGTTTGTATTTATAAATGGTGAAGAAAAATGCAAAACTATGTGTTGCAAATATGCTGCCTTTGTGTATGTTGTAACCTGATACTCCAGCTAAACATTCTCACTGTCTATGATTTACCAAGTCAATCCCAAAGCAGTCTCCTAGTGTTTCCATATATCACTACCTGTTCTGCTAAAAATGACCAGTGAATTCAAACCTTCACTGGCTTGAACAAGCAATCATCCTATGAAATTCTGTATTTCTGAGTATTTTTATAGTAATTTTGTTCTTGTGTGAATTTTAATGCTATCTCTATCTTAATCTTAATATTTTGAAATCACATAAATATAAGAAAATGTAGTATTATATATTTACTCCTAGTTTCAGATTCCTGGTCAAAATTACTGAATATCTTGAATGTAATTTATTGCAATGTTTAAGTAATGTGTAAATGTGACTAGGATATTGTGTTTTTCCAAGCTAAGAAATGTTATGTGGAAATAAATATTTATCCTAACTAATTTTCATGCTCATTTTAAAGTGTGTGTAATGTGTCCTGTCTTTATTTTTCCTTCATATTAACCAACAAATCAGGTAAAGTATTTTAATTGTCTAAGCATATTTAACAAACATATCCCCATTGTTAAAAAAAAAAACATGTGTGACATAAACATTTCAAGAGGACTCAAACAACTTGAACTTTATGAACAGAAGATAATGAGAAGTTTGTATGCATGCACATGCTCGCCCACACCCCACCCCTACCCTCCACCCCCCCACCCCCGCACAGAACATGCATGAGTAACGTTACCTCTATGGCAAGTAAAAGACTCATTAGTAGGATCCACTATTAGAATTCATGGATGCCTGCTTATAACTTGTGTGGGAAAGCTTTCCCTAAATGTGCCCTTTCTGGTTGCCTTTGAGGTCAAATGGGACTGCAATTCTTTTGTGGCCATCTAATAGATTGTTGGGAAGATTGTATTCAGAACTGTACCTGCTGGCTAATATTTCTCTTGACTAGTAGGCTTACTTATAATTGCCCCTATTTAACAGCATCAGTGTGTTTCCTAAATATCTTGTTAGGATGATTCAGTCTCCTACCTACACACATCCAGTTTGACCACTTGTTCAAGATGCTGTCTTTTTTCCAGTGTGTATGTCCATAGGTGTGTAGATTTATGTCTGGGTTTTCAGTTTGATCACATTGATCAACATATCTGTTCTTATGCCAATGCTCTGCTGTGTTTATTACTATAGCACTGTAGTACCACTTGAAATTGTGAATGGCAAGATCTCCAGCAGTCATTTTATTGTTCAGAATAGTTTTAGCTAGGGCGGTAATTCAGACTCATAGTCTGATAGAGACGCTCCAATGATGACTTCCAGATCTTTTAGGATTCTCTTAGGTGTTCCTTTCTGGACTAACTTCTGTGTTTCTGTCCATCTAGAGTCCATTTTCTCCTGAGTTGCCTTTCTGTCATTTACAGACAGATTTCCAGTTAAGAGAATAAAATAAAACATCATCTGGGTGGGAAACATTTATAATATCAGCACTCTGGAGGCTGAGCTAAGAGGGCTCCCAGGATTTTGAGGCCATCCTGGGCTATCATGGACTTGGCCTAAATAGAGCAACGTGCAGTCTTTAAAAAAAAAAAAAGATTGCAACCTCTGATAGTTTTATGAAAGTCATATAGTCTCTGAGTATTTTGAGAGAGTGGTTGTGGTTAATAATCAGAGATGACCTTCTGATTACTTCTCTTAGTACTAATGACCTCATTTCTTCTTACTGTGGACTGAGCTTATAACTAGGTCCACTTTCTTTGGTGTGTAGAGGCATAGGCTTCTGTCAGAAGCCTTATATTTTTTTTATAAGCCCCTTGATGGTAACAGTGGTGTCTTAACCTTCCCTGTTAACTCTAGAGGGTCTAATTCTGTGCTCTGATATTTACCCAAACAGCAAAGGTTGTTCCAGTTCAGTGTTTCAGGAAATGCTGGTGTTCAGTTATGATAAAGGATATGTCACATTAGAGAACACCAGCAGTACATGACACTACACAGAACTGGCACCTGAGAACATGGAGGTTTAACACCAAAATCTATGCAATGTATACAGCCACCATAGTAGGAAAAACAGCAAAATGCTGTGGCTAGGAGGAAAGAAAACTGGAAAGGAAGATGCTAAGCACTGCATATGTAAATCACAGCCATGCAACAGTTCTGAGGTAGGAAGTTTTGTGCCTTTTACAACTCAGGTGGAGTTGAATTCAGAGAGTCTGGATAATGTTCCTTAAATACTATATTTGTCACAACTGTTGGTTATCTTGCCCTGTGTGTCCTGATTTCAGATGAAGGGCACTATATCTCAATCTTGAGGTGAGAAAGGATTTTGTTTATCCCTAATAGGATATTAACTTTGGTTCTTAGAATCAGAATCAAATTGAATACAATTTCTCAATATACTATACTTTCTTCATCACTCATTTCTCCACAATAACAACGGAACTATAACTAAGCAGTGAATTCCATTTTGTTGCTCACAATTCACAAAGTTATGATTTTGTATAGAAGTAACCTAAACAGGCCCATCCCTTAATGTACCTTCAAGGACCCTCATCTTCATGTCTCTTGAATCTCAGAATTCAAACAATCCCTGATCAAAATGTTTCTAAAACAACTGTGTCTGCATCAACATGTATTTGTTTTTCCTCTTATACACAGCATTTACATTGTCCAGGATATTACAAGAATCTGGAGATTATTTGAAGTATAGGGGAAGACAAGCTTCTATTTTTATAGTCTATGCCATTTCACAGGAGGTATTTGAAGATCATTCGATTTGGGTACCTATATCCACAGGAGAATCTAGAACCAATCCCCTGTAGATAGAGAGATGGAGATAGGATTTTGGTTATTGGAATGGTCACAATGTTGAATGTTGATTAATCTCAGTATCATGATGGATGCTTCTTGAGAAATTTCACAAGCTTGGAGAATTTCTTCAGAAAGGCTATGTAGGATGAGGACTTATATTTAATTTGTTGACATTTATGGTCTATAACAGTGGTTCTCTACCTAGGGTCACAACCCCTTTGGGCTTGTGATCATTTGGGTTGAATGATCCTTTCGCAGGAGTCCCCTAAGACCATCAGAAAACACAGATATTTACATTATGACTCATTGTTAGTAGCAAAATTGCAGTCATGAAGTAACAACAAAACTAATTTTATGGTTGGGGTCACCGCAACATGAATTGTATTAAAGGGATGCAGCATTAGGAAGGTTGAGAACTACTGCTCTATAGGCACTGAAAGACATACCTTTTTCAATAGCAGTAAAAAATCTCATTTTATTAATTCAAATTCTAGGGCTTAAATGTTAAAATTGTCAGAAAATTATGACATGCAGAGAAATGATCAAATACTACTGAGTTTCACAGTGGTGTTTTTAATATGAGGCTCTGAGATTTCTTGTGGATTAGCCAATGATATTATGGTTATGGTTTATAACCCCCACTTGTGTTTCATTCCCAGCCATCTGTATCCCCAAAAACATCCTGAATATATGCTTCAGGTCACTCAGGACGTATGTGAAAATACTGCTGAAATAACTGTCATAAAGTTGGCACAACAAAATTATCTTATTTTAGGAAAAAAAAACATGCTTGTGTTTTGGTATGTTTTTTCACTTAGAATTTATTGAATCTTAAATATTGTACAAATCTAGTAGTCTTATAAGTCAGTATTCTCACTCCAACTTAGTGCAAAAGCAGTAAGTGCCAAGAAGTGGAACTGCTAATACTCTGATCAGGAAACACAATGCCCAGAGCCACACAGACTGAAGTGATCCTGGATCGTGAATCATTTCTCCATTCTGTTAGCACATGTGCCCCTGGGTGCTGAGGCACTCTGAGCATAGTTTTTGAAGGAAGGCTTGGTGATCTGTGTACTTTCAAAGGTTGCATAAGCCCATAAGAGACATGTCTATACGCCTTGGTGACATTGCTAGTTCTTGTGTGTTTCAAACTTACCCTTAAATTAAGTTTGTCCATAATTTATGTATCAGTTTCTTTATCTAATTTACAACTCTTATTGACCAGTAAAATCTGTCCTACGAGGGTCAAAGAAAAACTGAATTTATTCACATTATCACTATTTGAAACCCTCCTTTCCTGAAAAATATGTGCTGTGATATTTTTATTACTTCAGGCTCCAGAAACAACATATTTAGAAATGAAAGAAACAAAAATATTCATGGTATTATGTAAATATTATGTAATCGTGAGAAATATTAATACAAAACCTGGGTTATTATATGATGTGGTTTAGGATAATGAACCCACAAAGGGTAGCTTCTGTTTAATTTGCTCTTATGTTTCCATGCTGTCAGGAACAAGTGCTACCTCTGCTCCTTGATCTAGGACCTTGTAGACTGGTCTTGCTACACATGTGCCTGAGCTATATGATTTCATGAATTAAATTAAATTTTGTCTTTCATAGTATATAAATGACTGTATTATTATTAATCAGTTTCTTGAAAGCTATGTGTTAGTTATGAGAATTGAAATATCATGGGTATTAGATAAACTCTTATGAATTATTTAACTTTAGACAGTTTTATGTATCTAATTTTTTTTAAAAGCTGAACTCTTTCCATGTTTACAAGACAGTCTTGGATTTCTAACAAGTTAAACAAGAACCTTTGAACAAATGTGTCCATATGTCAATGCCATTTAAGTTTGATTCAAGATGGAACCCATTACCTCTGAAAAATGGAGGCGTATTTAGTAAATGACCAGGCAAAATTCCAGTGTGGAGAACAGAAATAATAACACACAACATTCTCATTCATTTTCCATTAAAAAGCCAATGAAGTTAAAATATTTTAATTAACATGCTCAAAGAAATGAAGTAAGAAAAACTGATGCAAGTATTCCTTCATGTTAGAATTTGAGACACAAATATTTTCAACTTTTAACAGGGCGAGTCAATGTGTTCCAAGCTGCCTCTTTTCACTAGGAAACATCGGTGATTTTTCAGAGCACATTTACAATGCTTTGCCATCACCCTTGCTGTGTTTTTGTAGCACCTATAGCCATAACTGGCACCTGGGGGCCTTACATTGCTGGCAGTTTCCCTTGCATTTCTTTGGAGTCTATTCAACTGCTGTGGTTTTACTGAGAACTTGGTGCTTTGCATATGTGATTTCCTGAGACTGTTTGAGTAGTCTTTCTCAGAAAACTGTGCCAGTCTGGCAGTGAACAGCACTTCTTGAGGCGAGCTGACAGTAGCCTGGTTGGGTTGGTATGCTTGGACCTGCTTCTATAGCCATACTCTGTAAATCTCTCCCTGTTCCCCTTCTCTTGTTGCTGCCCTAATGACATCATCACCCTCATCTTGTCATCCCTTTAAATAAGGGAACAAGATTTGGACTAGTCTAGTAAGAAAAAAAAATGAAATTCTTTCTCAGGAAATGTATGCAGAGCTCTTGTAAAAAATAATTTATATTTGTTGTTTCAGCAGCTGATGTGGAAATAATTT